TCAAAAAGTCATTTTATATTTTTTCTTATAGATTAAAATAGTAGGTAGCTCAAAGTGGAAGAACATTTTTGTTAGTATTTTATTATATATATTTTTTTAAATACATGAAGAGCAAAGAGCAAGTAAAAATATAAAGCCATTTATTATTATTTTTACATGGGTACTGTTTGAAAACCTTTATTACAGGTCGAAAAAAGAATAATTATATTGCCGGACTACCTTTTTTTTATGAAATAAAAAGCTATTAAAAACAGAACAATTTTATTTCAGATACATAAATATACAAATATGATCTTTCTATTACATACCATTTGGGTTGCATGTCACGACACGTGTAATGATATAATAACTCATTTAGGACAGTAATCAGCAATGATTTTATAATATCTGGACAAGGCTAAAACACATTAGCTTAAGATTATCAAGAGATACTTTATTTCTAATTTGTCCGAATAGAAAAAACACTAAAGGAAGCTTCTTTTGTGACATTTCGAATGTCATTTTACTATCATGATTACTCCTACAAACACTCTTGGTGAAGAATCTGCTCAATAGATTTATTTAGTGTTATAAGATAACTGATATTTTGTAAAGCATATTTTGGAATAAAAGACAAAATAGCTATTTGTGTATTAAGAACAGAAAGTAGCACCTTTGACAGTTGAGACAGAAAGTCTGTCGATGAGAAAAGACTTATTTTATATTTATTCAAAAAGGAGGAAAAATACAATATCAAAACTGTTATCTCAGTTATGTAATTTTCATTTTCAGTATTTGTGTTTTTCCAACTGACCATATCAACTGACCATTATTTTGTAATTGAGATGAAAAGCCGTACGAGTCGCAGATACGTACGGTTTTTCACCTAATTTCACGGGTATAATCAGCTGTACTACATTAACAGCTAGGTATCTAGTACGGTTTTTAAGCTCAATGCGCTAGTTCAGTGTGATGTCATTTTGGTTCGACTGACATTTAATTCTAACCAAACTTTTAACAAAAACATCAATAAATTTAACATATACGTTTTTACTATTTTTATTTTATTTCAAAATATTGTTTACAGGTCATAAAAAATAGTTTAAAGGTATATAATTGGTAACTAAACGATTGTATATTTGATACATGCTATCTACTTACTTTAGGAATATATTTATAAAAGTGAAAAAAACGATATAATTTAGGTAAACAAAACGAACAAAACGCATTCCAAAAATCTACTGTCACTTTAATTATCAGTGGAACCATAATTACATCATCACTGAAATAGTGCATCGATCATTGCGTTCGGTCTGCCAAGTTCCTTTAACTCCTTTAACACTTTTAACTCCAAACGACCCTTTTAGCGTTCGGTTTAGTCCGATTAGTGACGGTTTAACACGCTTAAATGTCATTGAAAAGCACCCTAAAATTTATCCCGCTCCAGCCCCTGACTATCCGAACTCGCCTGATGAAGAGACACATTTTAAACGAAATGGCTTATTTTGAAATGTCAAATTTGAGACTTGTACGGTTTTCGAACTCACTGGTTCAATTGCAGAACACTGTTTGCAGTGAATCTTTTTCTTTAAGGATTTTACTATAAAACCAGAAATATAAGCAACTACATCCTGAATGTATTCGCTCAGAAAATATATAGATAGGTAATCATGGTCACGACGCTCATTTGTAAATTCCAAATTTTCTTTAGTGTCTGATTCGTAACATTTTAAATTTAACGCAATTTGGCTACTAGTGTTGCTACAATCGAAGATGCTGGTGCCATCTAAAGCAATTGCATTGGCAGTTTTATTTGACTTTACTTCATTATGAATTAATAATTTTTTATAACAATTTTGAAACAATCTCCATGTGAGATTGTTATTGAAGCATCCGTTACGAACTGCACTAAAAAAAAGTATTTCTTTTTTCTTCATTTTTCGCCTCTTCAACTACCTCTCCCAAAATTCTGTAAAATGTGATGATTACTGTATAATTTTAGAGCTTACATATAATAAAAATACCCATAATAAATACTGTACTTACTTGATAGGTACAGCATTATGTTTTAAGATGTGTCTACCACTTAAATTTTCATAAATATCTGCCATACAAAAATGGTCAGAACATATACTAAGGCTTCTTTCATTTTCATAATGTTTTCCTCCACCAAGCATAGATTTTGCAGCCAAATTCTACGTTGAATAATTTCTCTAGGAAACCTGATCAGAAAATATAGAACATTATTATTTAAATAAACAATGCTAGTGCTAAATGCCTTTACACTGTTAAATAAATTAAGCCTTATTCCCTGTATATGCCTACGTCTATGCTAACATAATCTTATTTATGAAATGACCGAATAACATTCTTATTCTGCGTATTTCGGCACACTATTTATTTCCTCCCCATCGTAAAAGTCCTTAATAAAAAGTTCAGGGTTTAAATTATTCTTGAAAACTACAAAAAACCACAAAAATCACAATAAAACTTGATCTGTCACTTTGACAACATCAGCAAAATGTCTTAGGTTGCCAAAGTTAAATGATTTATACCAAAATGTTTAATATTCCCATATGATACACATGTAAAAATAGATACTTAAAAGTCTTAAGTGATTGCAATTAATAAAAAACTCATATTGATGCTTTCAATTCTTTATTTCCTTTTTTTATTAGATTGTATTAAAGGTAATAGTAACTTTTTAAATAAAAATTTAATGTTTGATATTTGATGAAAGAGATCTGACAACATAGGAAGAGCGTACCGTCAAAAAAAAGTAGCGGACAAGTGTAATGTATACAAGGCGTATCTATTATCCGATATCTTTGGTCTGGATCCTATTCTAATGTATGTAGTCCACATACTTTGATTACATCAAAGTATATGATGTAGTCTGTGTATCGTGTATAAATATGAACATTTGACAGCTGTGATCTCCATAGGCGTTTCAAATAGTTTTTTCATCAAAACCCAAAGGACTTCTTTTGTAAATATTTTGTCAATGACAAATTTAAAGCAAAATTAAATTCAAACATAAAATTTTATTTTTCTGCTATTTTTTATTCAAATGTAATAATAAACGATATTTAAAAAAAAGTAGGTTTCAAATGATTACACTATTCAATATTGTTTATAGGTAAATACATGATAATATTTATTTTGTTAATATGTGCATCGTAATTTGTATAGGGCAGGGTAAAATTTGCCCATCTTACACGGTTGTGGTAGGAGACGAAAATTGAAAATTGACTACAGCGCATCCCCACTTCAGACAAATTAGATTGTGGCGACTGTACATGATAATTAAATTTGTTGTTTAATTTGCAAAAAAGTAATAATTAATCTGTACAAACAGTATCTTACTGTCATCAAGCTTGTTTACCAAAATGATATATTTCTAATGTATTAATAATTAATATTTAATAAATAAACAAAAAAGAATGTTTTACATTACTACACAATGCTATAATAAATACGGTAATAAAACTATATTAACGGAATATCCATTTCAGTCAAAATAATCAAATTACAGTAGTAAGTTTAAGTAGTTTATATAGAGAAATAATTTAAAAAATAGTACACAAACCTTTCTTATCATATTGTAATATTCCTTTTAACGCTCGAGGTCTGGCATCTGTGTTCCGGAAGAAGTTTGGTCAATTGCCAGAACTTCAAGGTCAGTTACCAGCCCTCTGGAAAAACATTGAAACTTCAAGATGGATCGCGTTCTTTTCTTTTTGATAACAAAGAACACCTTCCGAGATCGATCCACTTATCATGATGTATGGGAAGCATTACTCAGTCTGAGGGAGCACGTACTGGAGTCCAATGTATAGAAACTGAAACTAGCCATGCCCAAGATAGAGAAACAACCAGCTAGATTGGAGGATCATTAGAAACATGCTGGAAGTAATCTTCCAAGATACCCAGTTTGAAATATCGGTCTGCAGCTATTCTCCCAGCGTTCAGGTTATAGAGAAGACCACCCCTTGTTACTTCTATGCAATTGGGAAATATAAAAGAGGATCCAGCTGCAGATACAATCATTTAGTTTAGTTCCAGGAGGAACTATTTCTTAAGGAAGGGGCAATGTGACGCGGAGCCGTCTCTGTACTTTGTTTACTCCTTGCTCGCGGTATGAAGTCTAGCGCTGGCCATACAGAGACAAACTCACTACTTCTCGAAACTGCCGGAATGATCGCGGTGCGGCGTATGAGTCATAGAGAGGGACTTCCCGAAGCTTCTAGGTGGCCTAGAGTGTTCTGGTACAGAGCTGGCTTTATATAAATAGCCGCGACTTTGTCGAATTTAAGTGTTGGACAGTAAAGACAAATTGTAATAAATAAATTAGAATTGTGAGTTGTAATAGTGTCTAAGTATTGTATAAATTAATTAGTACGTTATAAATAAATTGTAAATAAATAAACTTTAAATAAATTAAACAAACGTTAAAATACAATTAACGCAATGGCTATAATAATTTAAATAAATAAATATAATCTGTTTTTTATTTTGTATAAAATTATTTTTACTAAATTAGAAGAGCGATTTTGACTTTCGACATTCTCATTGCTAATTTTCAGAAGATACAAGAAACTCTTTGGAGAGTATTTTATATTTTCATAAAATGTTTTCTTTCCAGGGAACATTAAGATTTATTTTACTTTGTCAAGGAGAAAGAGAAAGTAATAGAAAAAAGGGTAGATACTGGCTTCAAACAAATCCAGACCGTTACTTATCTATATTTCATTTGTTTATCTGAGGTATAGACTTCCAACTAATTTTAATATTAAATTTTCAATCCCCATGTGTTGCATTAACAGCCGAAGATCATAGACTTATAAAAAGAATACTACACAATTCACTAAAGTCTGTTGTCACTTGTGACTTAAGTGCACTCAGAGCGGATCTGGATGTCTATCTTGCTTTCCTGAAAATATTGTATTTTGTTACATCCGCCCTACGTGAACTCAAGCGGAGAATTTAAGTTCTGTTTAATTCACTAAAAACGATTTCAGGTACTTGGAGAACTCATCTAACCATAAGGGAAGACGACATACTGCCTCTACCTAAAGATATAGGCATTCCAGAAGCCGCAACGTTTTTCGTAAACCCAGCAACTATGTACAGACTATTGAAAGATTTTGTCGATTTAAAACCAGGAGATACGGTTCTTCAGAACGGTGCTAACTCTGCATGTGGCATAGTTGCAATACAATTATGCAAAGCTTGGGGCTTTAAATCAATAAACGTTGTTAGAGACAGACCAAATATTGAGGAGTTGAAGAATTTTTTGAAAAGTATTGGTGCTACTTATGTTTTTACTGAAAAGGAAATTAAGGAAACTGACATATTCAAAACTGGACAAGTAGCAAATCCTAAATTGGGACTAAATTGCATAGGAGGAGAATCAGCAAATACCATTTTAAGACACTTAAGTGGTGAAGGAGTATTAGTTACATACGGAGGTATGTCTTTAGAACCAATTCGCGTATCTACAACCACACTTGTGTTCAAGAATGTTAAACTGGAAGGTTTTAACCTTAATAAATGGTTCAACACACCTGAAAATGAACACAAAAAACCTGAAATGTTTAAAACATTAATTGATTTAGTAATGAGAGGAGAATTAAAGGCCCCGCCATACGTTTTGGTAGATTTTTCAAATTTTAAAGAAGCTATGAGTAATACGTTATCTAAAGATGGAATGATTGGAAAAAAGTACATTTTAGATTTTAGGGGTTTTAAAAGCAAATTTTAAGATACACCTAAGAACGTTTTTTAAAAAGTTAGGTTTTTTTTTACAATAAACTTTAATAAAAATTATGTGTTCTACTTTAAGGAATGTATGCCCAAAATTAGGATTATTTTCTTTCTACAAAAGGTTGAGACGCATTATTCAGTTATAAATTGAAAACGAAACATTTTCAATTTTACAAAATTTTATTAAAAAAAATAAATGTAAATAAAATCAAATTCTAATCATAAAATAAAGTGTGCTTTATGTTTTTTATACGAAAGAAAATAAGATACATTTTTAAAATTACCGCAATCGCCTAAATTTACTAATAAGCAAAACCAAACCTAAACCCAGACAGCACAAAAATATATGTATGGTATATTCTCTGGATTTACTGAGGATATATGTATGCCTATGCCTATATTCATGGTATTTTTTATATTCATGGCATATTCATTTTTTTTGTATTGCAGTACCATAGTTTAGAAAATAAAACCCATACTTAATTACAAATTTGTAATACAAAATAAATTTTATTAAAAAATAAAGCAAATTTTCAAAAAATACATACATACATACAAAAAACTCTAAATTTAAATTTATTTGCCGAGGTGCTTCACGTACTTTTTTCCTAAAAAAAAAAATGATATAGGTATAAGATATGTATATTATGAATTATAAGATATTTATAAACTATTCACATCTACATTTTGATGCTTTTAATAATAAGTGTTGTCTTCATTTGTACTTATAGATAATAAAACAAAATAATTAAATATAACATAATATTCTACAGAGATATCTATAAAATATGAAAAATGAATATGGTGAGTATATCAAAAAATACATATGCCTGGAATATCTTTCTAGAATGTAGAATATGAAATATATTCTCTGAATATTTCATAAATATTTAAATATATTTTGACAAATAGGCAGATTGGTGACATATGCCAGGGATATAGTGTGAAGAGAAAAAAAAATAAAAATTTTCCAAAAAGTTGGAGCTGTATTAAAGAGATGTCTAATACAAAAGGAACAACACACGATGTTACACAGGCAGGAAATTTTGTAAATAATAGGTATAACTTTTTCATTCAAAATTTAATCTACGAAGTGCGTACCTATATACCATTTTATATGCCGTCACCTTATCTATATTATAGAAACTTATTTTGCAAAGTACACCTATGGAATGTGACGTTATATCCCCACTTATAATGCACTCCTCTTTTATTCATACTGTATACCCGCTTGTCTTCTTCTGGATTTTGAAATTAATTTACAAATAACTACTAACACAAACCAAAAATCAGAACAACCATTGTAGGTATTTACAATATGTAAAAAATAAACATCAAAAATAAAAAAGTTTCATAGTGACGCCATCTAGCATTAGAGTCAATAATATAAGAATTCGATTTTATCTCGTTGACCTTGATCATTTACGTGGAGTGGAACATCCATGGAACATCTATGTTTGTTTGTATACACATACACGTTTGAAAATGAAAAGTGGGGTGGGTACACACATGATACACGAGATAATAAATATTTATATTTATTCTTGTGCTTGACGTATTTTTAAAAAGAGTACTGTGAACCGCTAGGTACTTTTTAAATTTAGACTAGATAACTTTATTGCTGGGTGAGTAATCAAAAATTTTTATATTAAAATATTTCATTTCTTCATACCTAAGACATAACAAAAATGTGTCGGAATTGTCAAAAATAAAAATATACAGGATGTAAATTTAACCACCTTTGTGGTCGAAAATAAGTCGATTTAAGCCAACTGCTTACATAAAAAATCTGATGTGTCCAGCACATGACTTTCCTGTCTAGTTATTCCAGACTTTTTCCGGTTATTTTGTACAACATATTGTATCAACCCTGTAAATGTTTACGAGGGTAAACTAAATACATTTTCGTCACATATCTTACTCGAAACATTTTTTATATTTTTCTATTTTAGAGAAATCATGTATGAAATAGAAATTATAAAACAACTGCTTTTACTTGAACAATTTTCTTGAAAATTAAAATTTTGCTCTTTTTGTCAAATTTCTGTAATACGGACCATTTTAGGAACATTATGTATAAGGCAACAATTATAGAGAATAACATTACAAAGCAACTTTTACAGATATATTCCATAAAGAAGATATTCCGACTATGCCCGAAATTTAATTAGTTCACCACAGGATGAATTAAAGCTTAAATTTAAAATGTGGTGTTTTCTCTTTATCTTTTTTTTTTTAACAATTTTCTTAAAAATTAGAATTTTTCACTTTTTGTCAAATTTCTCAAATACGGACCATTTTAGGAAAAGTATTGGCAACTGGTATTCATACATACATAAACATACTCCTCGTTACGGCACTACTGAGCATGCGCATCGAGTCGTTTTCAGACGATGTTTGTCATTAAACAGAGCCGGATTTATTTTCAATGTTGAAATTAATTTTTGCTAAATGAATTCGGAATTTTAATTTTGTAACCTACCGCACCCAGGTACCTTAATAATTTATTAATTCCATTTATTAAATACAATATTACATTCTTTTAAATTCAAAATGCTTCATTTAACGAAAAATCTCCCAGATAATTAAATCTTATTTACGACACCTAATAAATAATATCTATAACCACGTCCGTAAAAGATGCACGTGGCTGAGTTCCTCGAGAAAGAAAACACCATAAAGTGTATTTCTGTTTACGAAGTAATTATCATTAAAACACTTAAGTCGCTTATTTTCCTAGTTTCGATGTTCAGACCGATATCGACAATATTTCGATACACAAAACTTTCAAGGCAAGTAATAAATAACCCACCCCCTTTTGCACCTACATTCGTTTTTTCTATGAGAAACAAAACGATAGAGACGTCACAGAAACGATTAAACTGTGTATAAAAAGTCTGACGAAAATGAGCTCAGGGCATTCAATTTTTATCATTTGATGTGCAAGCATACATTTTATTATCTGTACCCAGTTATATAATCTGTACCTTTCCTAAACGCTCCTCCTAAACGACGTCTATCCTACAATACCTCCTATCCCCGACGGTGTCAACGTCTCGACGCTCAACTTCCTGCCATCCTACTCCCTACGTCTCGAACGCTGTCACATTCCTCACCATCTAAGTATTTCCTACCGTACACTAATTTCGACGCTCAACGTCCCACGCCTTATTTCCGACGCTTTGCCGTCCATAATTATTTCCTTCATAATATCACGTCCCGCATCACCTACTTAATTCTACCGTATATCTGTCCCAATACAGTACCGTATTAAATACCTTCCCTTCCATCACGACGCTAGACGTCTCGACGATGGACGCCTCGACGCCCAACCCTGCGACGTACCTACATCGACGCCTTCCACGACGCTAGATGAAATTAGTACATAATTTAATGTCTGTATTTTCAATGGTGAGTCAAAAGATTTAGTAACCTTCTTTGAGATACCACCCCGGTTTCGTTTAAGGGCGGCTTGACATTTGCTGTAAAATATTATCAATTTAACCAATAAACCACATGGCCTTCAGGTCATACACCCCGAAAGATAGGATAACATCTGTTTTGGATGGGTGAAATTTGGAATATTTTAATAGAAATAATAAAAATCAATATTAAGAAATATACAGGGTTATATTAAGTTATTTCAATAGAAATTATAATAATCAATATTAAAATACATACAGGGTTGTATTAAGTCATATCAATAGAAATTATAAAGATCAATATTTTGGAAATATACAGGGTTGTGCTATCTTGGATAAATTGTACAAACCAAGATGGTAAAATTTAATAGTAAGTTAACCAACTGGCGAATACGCTGTTCGTTAGCTCAAGGGGGGACACCTATACGCTAAGCAACCCGTTCTACAAGGTTTGAAACAAAGTATATGTGAAATCAACATAGTAAGGTAATCAACTGGCGAATTGGCGCTGTTTGTTACTTCCGTTGGTCATCACCTCTATACTCATCGTAATATTTACCTAAGAGGGTGCAACCTGTATATATCTACAATAGAATCAAATCAACATCAACTCAATAGTTAATCAACTGGCGAATTGGCGCTGTTCGTTAACTTCGTGGGTCATCAACCTAAATCAGAATATAAACAACAACACTATAGTTAATCAACTGGCGAATTGACGCTGTTTGTTAACTCTGTTGGTCATCAACCTAAATAGGATATATATTGATAGCAAATGAATATGGTCTGCGTTTGAAAGGGACTCAAGTGAGATCTCAGTAAATAGTAACAATTGTAAAATACTTTGCTAATTATTGCATCACATTTAAAGTATGAAAAATAAAAAAGAGTTTAAATATAAATTTGTATGTTTTATTTATCAATTTGCACCAAACTTTGCATCGAATTCAGGTTTACCTTAATTAACATTATCACAACGTGGGTACATAAAATATCAATTAATTAACTAGACGATCACTTCTACTACTAGAGGAAAAAGGCCAAATTACAGTAAGTATAGAATTTAAAGTAAAACTTGTGAGGTAAAAAAATAACATTTCAAAGAGAGTAAAGTAAAATACAAGAAGAACAAATCAAAAGAAGAGGGGGCCTGGGGGCGGGCCGTCACAATTTCCACAAACATAATCAGTAAAATACAGATGTAGGTATATAAAAAAATGTAATAGTTATTTAACGAGCTAGTTTATTAATCACCTTTTAAGATAAGAGTTCATTACAAGATTTTTTTAGCTACCAAATTTCTAATAAAATGAAAAAATCAGGTTTCAAATTTTAATATTTGATTTCAAAGTGTCAATTTGCTTATAGTGTTACAAACAAATATTAATTAAGGAAAGTTCACAACGATGCAGGTAAAGTTAGTCGAAGATAAGCGGTTAATAATAGAAAGTAGACCATCCCTCGATTTTTATAATTTCTATTGAATTAACTTATACAACCCTGTATATTTTTTTATATTGATTATTAGAATTTCTATTGAAATACTCAAAATTTCACCCATCTAAAACAGATGTCCATCCTGTCTTTCGGGGTGTATGAGCCGAAGGCCATGTGTTTTATTGATATTTTACAGCCCTTAAACGAAACCCGGTGGTATCTCAAAAAAGTTACATAAGTCTTTTGACTCACCATTGAAAAATAGATTATGTACTAATTTCATCTAGCATTGTGACGACGTCGATTTAGGTACGTCGTATCGTTGAGCGTCGAGGCGCCTAGCGTCGTGGTGGAAAGGAAGGTATTTAATATGGTACTGCATTGGGACAGATATACGGTAGAATAGATGATTTCAACGGAAGACATCTTGAAGTTGCAAGGTCATTGGAAGATCTTTGCGCCATCTATAAGTTTACATAACAACTAATAAAATAAAAAAGAAAACTGTAAATTATTATTTTGACTATCTGTCTAAAGATACGGCAGTGTCAGCATAAATTTCTTCTTTTTTCTTGCCTTCTTCTTTAGTTGTATGGGCTCTCTTTTCTTTCACTATCGCCAAGATCTGGAATCTA